TTGAAGTCGCTCAAGAGGTGTTGTGGAATTCCTTCAAAAACGGTTCCTTGAATTACCCCAACAAGACGTTCTATAGATGGTAGCCTCCAGGAAAACCCTGGCCGACTCGTAACTCCCACGGCGGCAAACTGCAGCGCGACCGCAGGGGGGAGGGAGAGCCAGGACCGTCTTGGCGAGAGCAGGGGAAACACGGAGAAAGGGGGCGCGGAATGGCACCACTAGCTACGGACCGTCTTGGCCAGCCGCAGCGGCCATGAGCGGTCATGAGCGGCCATAAGCGGACAGGGAGTCTCAGCTTGAACGCCCCAGTCCGCCCTACCGATTCGCCTGACGATGCGGCGAGATGTGAATTATGAAGGGGGGAGCTTCAGGAGGGGAGCGCGAAGGAAGGGGAGGAGGGAGGAGGGATGAGCAGGAAGGGGAGGAGGACAAGGAAGGAGGAAGGAGGAAGGAGGAGGAGGAGGAGGAAGAGGAGGAGGAGGAGGAGGAGGCGGAGGAGGCGGAGGGGAGGAGGGGAACGAGATGAAGCGATGAGGAGAATAAGGGAGGATGAGCAGGTGGAGAAGGGGAAGCAGTAGACACCCTTGCCGTCAAGGAGGGTAGGACCAGGAGGCGCAGCAGGAGCAGGAGCAGGATTGGGAAGGGAAACAGGATGGCCAACGTCGCTGAACTTGGGCGACGCCCAAAATATGGAGCCGACAATGATGGAGGCACAGGAGCGGGAGGAGCTGGACGAGGGCGAGGAGGGCAAGGAGGAAAGCAGATCGAGAAGAGGGCAAAGTCAGTCCACGCCCTCTCCTCTGATGATAGCACTGGGCATAACAGAGACAAGGAGACAAGCTGTCAAATGTGTGAGCTTCGCAGACTCATGGCCCACACCCTTCCGTGCACACACTCGCGAGCAAACTTGCGTCCCTGAGGAGGAGGGAGGGGTGGGAAGGAGGGGGGGGGGGGCAGGGGGGGGGAGGGGGGGTCGCGCGGGCGCAGCAGCCGCCTCCTCCGGAGCGGCGCCAGCAGGCACACACGCCACGCGCACAGCGGACCCCCACGAGAACGAGTGGTTGCTCAGCGGGTTCCGAGAGGTTCTCGGATGTCCTCCTCCTCCTCCTCCTCCTCCTACTCCTCCTCCTCCTCCAACTCTTCCTCCTCCTCCTACTCCTACTCCTCCTCCTCCAACTCTTCCTCCGGCTCGTCCTCCTCCTCCTCCTCCTCCTCCTCCTCCTCCTCCTTCATCTCCATAACCTCCGCCACCACCACCACCATCCATCATCGTCATCTTCATCAACAAAAACGGCATCAACATCAAAATCAAAATGCATGTCATCGTCGTCAGCATCAGCATCCTGATAATAAACATCATCATCATCATCATCATCATCATCATCATCATCATCATCATCATCCTCATCCTCATCCTCATCCTCATCATCATCAGCAGCATCAGCATCGTCATCGTCATCGTCATCGTAGTCGTCAGCGTCGTCAGCATCATCATCAGCATCAGCATCAGCATCAGCATCATCATCATCATCATCAGCCTCCTCATCACCATCACCATTAACATCATCCACAACATCATCATCAGCATAATCATCATCCGCATCATCATCATCATCATCATCATCATCATCATCATCATCATCATCATCATCATCATCAAAATCATAATCAACAAGATCATCACAACCACCACCACCACCACCACCATCATCATCATCATCAGAAGCAGCATCAGCATTATCATCATCTTCATCATCTTTATCATCATCATCAGCATCGTCAGCACCATCATCGTCGTCATCGTCTTCGCCATCATCATCAGCATCATCATCAGCATCATCAGCATCATCATCATCGTCATCGTCATCGCCAAAGTCACCATCATCGTCATCGTCATCAGCATCAGCATCAGCATCACCACCATAGCCCCCTCCTCAGCATCATCACCATTAGCATCATCAACAACATCATCAGCATCATTATGAGAATCATCATCATTGTTATCAGCATTATCAACATTAGTATCACCATCATCATCTTCATCATTAACATCGTCATCGTCCTCGTCCCTGTCAAAATCGTCATCATCACCACCATCATCATCGTCATCATCGTCATCATCACCACCACCATCATCATCATCATCATTGTCATCATCATCGTCATCAGTATCATCCTCATCATCGTCATCGTCGTCGTCAAGGTCATCGTCATCGTCATCACCATCATCGTCGTCGTAGCATTATCATCGTCATCGTCATCGTCGTCATCATCGTCGTCATCATCAGCATCACCATCAGCATCAGCATCATCATCATCGTCAGCATCATCGTCATCGTCATCATCATCATCATCATCATCATCATCATCAGCAGCATCATCAGCAACAGCATCAGCATCGTCATCGTCATCGCACTTCCACCACTCCCTCCTCAGTGATCTCCTCCTCCTCCTCCTCCTCTTCCTCTCTCTCCTCAAGGCGAGGACTTCGGGGGTCCTTGAGCAGAGCATCCATTGCCTTGCTCAACGTGTGTATATATTCCCACACACACACAGCCCGCTCCACGTGGGCTCTTTTGGTCGGCATGGCGTCTTCAGCGTAGCGCACCCCCCTGGCAATGATGCCATCTGGCATCTCTTCGCGGACACCCGGGTTCCGAGTTCCTCCTGCGTCTGATGATCCTTCTCCGCCACGTCCATTTCGGCTCGTGCGGCGCGTGCGCCCCGGTATGTCGCATCTCGGCCCGGCACGGCGCAACGGCTCGTCGGGCGATGCGCATCAGCTTTGCAGGCTCTCGGCTCGGGGAAGGCCACCAAGCAATTCGCGCAGGGCCTGTCGGCTGCTCGGAGTCCGGGTTCGACCTGGCCGTGGCCCCGATCGGATGCCAGTGCGGAACGCCTCCAACGTCGTGATCCCCCTGCTACGGTTTGTCTGCGACGATCGAGCATCGAGGGCGCACCGAGGAACGATTGTTTTGGAAGTTTGGGTGATTTTGTTTAGCCTCGGGAGGCCGCCAGAGGCCGTCGGAGACCTTCCGAGGCCTACGTGGACTTCTGGGGAATTGGAAGGTCAGGTTACAGGGCGGCACTACAGCTTACCACCACCCCCTCTTCCGCGTCGTCTCCATCTACTGTCGCTGTCGTTTTCGCGAATTGCCGCCCCGCGGAGCGACCCGCGCGTGTGCCAAAGCCAAGCCACGCGCCGTCATCGTCCTACACCTCGTCGTCGTACTCCTGCTCCTGCTCCTGCTCCTGCTCCTGCTCCTGCTCCTTCTCCTCCTCCTCCTCCTCCTCCTCCTCCTCCTCCTCCTCCTCCTCCTCCTCCTCCTCCTCCTCCTCCTCCTCCTCCTCTTCCTGTCTAAGGCCACGTGGGGATCCCATATCCTGGGGATTCCACCCACCACCCTCCGCAAGCTTCGGGTCCAAGCGGCCAGATCCTGGAGCCATCTCTTGGCCCCGACCTCCCTTGATGATCGCTTTCTTTCGGCGGCCCGCCTGTGGGCCGGCGACCAGCTCGTGGCACAGTGGTGGTCGTGTGATTAGGACAAACGCTATATCTGCTGCGGTAAAGTAGCGTCAACATCCACGATGGCCAGCGGGCCAGCGGCGGCAAGGCGGCGGCGAGAGAGGGCAGGGCAGGAGCCGTACGAACTCGCCCGGCGGCAGGATGCGTAGGCCGAGCAACAGCTCCCTCTGAACATGTCCTTCGGCCCTGTGTCCAGGATGCGTTCGAGGCCCAGGCCAGGAAACCCCCTGGGGCCTGGTGCGGCAGCCCGTCGCCGCCGTTTTCCTGATGCTGGCCAGGATCTGCTGGACCATTATGATGGGCCTGTTTTCCACCACCACCACCACCACCACCACCACCATAAGTTGGAGGGGGAAGGAGGTGGCGGAGGATGAGGATGAGGACGACGAAGATGAGGAGGAGGAGGACGACGACGAGGACGAGGAGGAGGAGGAGGAGCAGGAGGAGGAGGACCCCCTCCCACTCCAACTTCTGGTGGTGGTGGTGGTGGAAAGCAGGCCCATCACTTTAACCTGGACAGTCCTTCGATCCAGGATGAGCTGGGGAAGTCTTGGCCTGTCGAGCGTTTCTCGCCGAAGCTGGCCACCCTCGAGGCCCAATAGGAGGAATCGTGGGTGGGGGCTCCTGGCACTCTTCGTCGGGAACGGGATATTGATATATCCTGGGCACTGCGGCTACTAAACTCTACGGCAACCGGCCTGCGCGGCTGAAGGGTTGCGGACAAGTCTGCGGCGACCTTGCTGCACACCGCGTCAAGCCCCTGCGAATGGCACAAGAGTCGGCGGTGCTGCTGATGGGCTTGCCTCCCACCACGTTCGCGCAAGTTGGCGCGATGGACTTCCCAGCAACAACGTGAGCGGGAAGCCGAGCGGGACAGAAGCAAAGGAAGCATTGAAGTCAACACCAGGATGGAGATGCTCCTGGGAAACAATCCTTGCACTGTCGATAAAAATATAGCGAATAGATGCCGAAGATACCCTAGCAGCCCTTGGTTTGGACAAAGCACCCACAGAGCCTCCCAGGGACCATGGTGGCATTGGGGCTGCAGGCCCCCATGTGGCCCTTGACCAGCACCATAGCTCGCCCAAACGCTGTGCCACGGGCGAGCTGGACAGCAACCGCCGCCAGAAAAAAAAACTTACAACCCTGCTGCCTGAGCTGGCCCGTTACTTCTTGAAGCCAGAAGGCCATGCTCGTGAAAAAGAATAGTCCCCCCAGGACGCCAAAGAGGAAAGCCGTTTCTTGCCCGTCGTCCACGATAACATTGCACGGGATGACAGCGAGGGTCCCCTTCGGGGTCTTCTTTTTGGAGTCCTCAGGAGCACCCGGCGCGACAACATGCCCTGATCGAAAAAGAGGAAGCAAAATAATGGGAAAGGACGCCCCAGTAAGACGAGTCCCCCCAGCCAGCGAGCCTTGACCACAGCAGGGGTGCCGCGGCTAGCTTCGCGAAGGAGATTCCTCCACTCGTGCATCATTTGTCGAAGTCGCCGCTGGTTGGGAATTCCAGGCCAGAGATGTCGATCTTCGCGGCGAATATGTGTCCCAGCGGGTACCAATTCTTCTCCAACATCGCGGGTTTCATTTCCAGCAACAACAAATTGCGACGGCAATGCCAGTCCTGTCGAGCAGCAATTGGATGACCTGTGCGCGCCCTCCCGCAGGAAAGACAGCACCGTCTGCCCAACTCCCCCAGCAAAACACGGAACACGCGGCACGCCCGCACCCCACCCGAACTTGGAGCCGGCGGGGCAACAGAAGCAGGCCTGGCAATCGGTGCACCAGCCGTCCGTGAAAATCTCCCCGCCGGCGCAACGGGGTCAGGCAAAGCATTCGGTGGGGGTGGGCCACGCGTCACTGGAGGACTGGGGGAAACTGAAGTCGACAACGCAGGCTGCGCAGACAAGCTCGTCAGCGCACCACGCGTCACCTAAGGGCACAGAGTAGCCGAAACCGCCCTCCTCATGGAAGAAATCTTGGAAGTGTGCCAGTTCTGGCCCTCACCCAACTTAAAAAGACGACGGTGGCGCATTCTCTGCATTGTTCTTGGATACCACCACAGCCTCGAAGAACAAGTCTTCATCGTCGGGAGCGGGAGTCTTACCAGCCGCGTGCTGGTTCTTCTCGGCGGGAAGGGCAGTGGGCTGTGGCGACGGAGCAGTGGCACTGGCAGCCACTGGCGGGGGTGGAGCCGCTGCACATCCACTACCCGCCGCCGCACCTGGAGCCCTATGAGCTTCAGCTGCAAGTGGGTCGTCAGCGTCGTCATCGCCTCTCCTCCTCTTGGCCTCCATCCTCTTGTTGAAAGCCCTCTGCTCTTCCACGAGAATCGGAGCTGTCGCACGTGCAGCCCCGAACGCGTTCTTATAAGCATATCTGAACATGTTGAGAACTTGCTGCTTCCTCTGGTCGAATTGCCCACGCTCTTGCACAGAAATGCCAACACCGTCCTCTGACAACACACCGTGATCATCCAATTCGAGGTTTCCACCGCTCAACAAGGTAAGCAGATCCAGCGTTGGTCAGGGTTCCTGTTCAGCCCCTCCTTAGCCAGCGCAACGACGGTTTCGGTAAACTCGGAGTGGCACTCTTTGTAATGGACATGGTTTCGCCTGCATTGGACATCTGTTCCACCACCCTGACCGCCTTGTACAGGGCTGCCTGGGACAGCTCCATGGCGTGTTTCGTGGCTCCCACTGAGGGCGGGCAGGCGGTCGAGCGGCATGCTCCAATCTTGGCGGCATCCCGTTGGTCGAGTTGAACCTGACTGGTCTCCCAAGCCTCCAAAAGTCTCAGCCAATGCATGCAACATGGGCAAATCAAAGGCCGAGTATGTTGCTCGTGCTCCCGTCTAACTTCCCACCCATCCTGAGGCACCCGACCGGAGACCTGGCTGCAAGTATTGGGAAGGAGCGCCAGGGGCGTGTAGACCACACACCTGCGGGTTGTCCTTGTTACCATTGCTGAGGATTGTGACCTGGGCGCCAAGCATTCCAAGGACAGGCCCAAACGCCACGAGGAGAAGACTTCAAAGGAGCACGGGCACTTGAGTCCTGCCTTATCGACCCAATGTTTGCACCATGCCCACTAAGTCTAATTTCTTCGGAAGCCGCACGCGCAGCATCTCCAACACTCCCCTCTAGGTGTACGTGCTTTGAGGTGTCCTTCATGGCAAGGCTGCGGGACAATTGACGTGCGCAGGCCCCGAACAAATCCCCGACAGAGAATGTGAACATGAAAGATGCGTCTGGGTGCCAACCTGATAGTTGTTGCACAGCCGTGGGAATCTCCAAGCTCGAGCCCACGCGACAAGGGCTCAAACTTGAGCTGCAATGGCTGCGGAGCCCCTCGTCCTCATCTTCGTCCTCGTCATCGTCCTCCTCTGGCTCCAGCTCCTCCTCCTCCTCCTCCTCCTCCTCCGTCTCCTCCTCCTCCTCCTCCTCCTCTAGCTCCTCCTCCTCCTCTTCTTCCTCCACCTCCTCCTCCTCCTCCTCCTCCTCCTCACCCTTCTCCTCCTCCTCCTCCTTCTCCACCTCCTCCTCCCGCAAACTACCATGCGCTGCTGTAAATCACGGCCCCCAATCGGCCAGTCATCACTCCCCGCTGTCACGGGATCCCAAAAAAAATGCATTCATAATGGAAACGGCAAGAAACGTGACGTCATCATATGATAACGCATTGGAAGAGGAACGCTCTGCGCGCGAAGACGGGGCACCACTTATGACAAGAAACAAGCAAACACAAAATTACGAAACCGAGGAGACCCCACATACTCAGAATATACACGCTACGGTGATGCGATCACGTTGCGGATGGGATCGGGGAGCCATCCAATGCGCACCCCGCCTAGTGTCGAGAGAGGGAAACTCTGGACTGGAGTGGGGAAAATAGGGAAGAGCAGAATGGCGTCACAAGCCCTCACCCGTGCACGTGGCGGCAGACGCCAGTGCGACTGTACCCCACGAGGGAGTCGGCAGCCCCAGACGAGACGCAGCCAAGCTCGAAGTCCATCTCAGTCGTAGTGTTTTCCAGATCCAAGCACAGAAGTGACAATGCTTGCTGCCTTCGGGTGGAAATCCCGGCGCGCCTGCGTGAAAAACCTTGCGTGCTGAGCCGGCTTGGGCCAAGGCATGTAAAGTTCTGGATGATACGCAAGCGCTCGCCCGTTTACAGTTTTGGATGCAACTGACGGCACACAGCACTTATGAAGTCGAGAACTCCTGACAAGACCGCGGTTTACCCTGCCTCCTCCCCATGTGTCCTCCTCCTTCTCCTCCTCCTACATTCCTTCCTTATAATTGTTCCTCCCTGCGACACCCCGAAGCCAGTCCAGAAGGAGGGGCGGGGCGTTCCGCCTGAGACTTCCTCACCATTTACAATCCTGAAGCGGAAATAAATGACAACAGGTTCACAGATGGGAGGGCGGGCCGCTTCAAAAATGTGACTCTCGCTTAACACCGCGCACATTCTTTTTTTAATGTGCAAGCGTTTCACGGGTTGAGGTGGCCCGTTTTCCAGTGTGGATGTCGCCTTAGCGCCGCGCACGTTCGTTTCCAAAACTTGAAAATGATACAGATGGAGGGCGGTTGATTTCCTAAATGTGGCTCTCTCTCCTTACCGCCGCGCACATTCGCTTGTAGATGTTGCAGGATGTTCATGGAATCTCATGTCTGACGTACCAGAAGCGGCGTCTTGGAACGATTCAGTGTTGTCAGGGCACCAAACTTACGTTGGTTCGCGGCGCTGAAGTGCCAGGAACGGTTTTCTGCCACGATTCAGAGTCGTCAGTACGCAGGAGTCATGTCGCTTCGTAGCGCTGAAGCCCCGAAAATTGTGCTCCGGCGCTCTTCAGGATCTTCAAATGGTTCTCCCAACGAGGCACTTCCCTGTGGAAATGAATCCTTGTAAGGGCCGAAAAAAAAATGAGATTGGAGGGAAGGTGTGTACCAACATCGTTGATGAGTCTTGGGTTTACACTGGTCCTCCTCCTCCTCCTCCTCCTCCTGGTCCTCCTCCTCCTCCTCCTCCTCCTCCTCCTCCTCCTCCTCCTCCTCCTCCTCATCCTCCTGTGTTCATCATCCCGTCCTCTTGTCCGCGCGGAAAACGTCGCAGGCCCTTCGCACACCCTCGAGTGTCGAGAACTAGCCCCCATGTGAACCCCTTGCGGCGTAAAGAAAGCGCCACGCCTGCCACGCCTGCCACGCTTCGCGAGCGTGCGAAGGAGAGCGCCCCCACCCCCTGCGAACCCCCTCTGGTGTCGAGGAAGTGCCACGCCTGCCACGCTTTGCGAGCGTGCGACGGATAGCGCCCCCAACCCCTCCGCACCCCCTTTCTTGTTGAGAAAGTGCCACGGCTGCCACGGTTTGCGAGTGTGCAACGGATAGCGCTCCCACCCTCTGAGCAAGACATCTGGTGTCAAGGACATGGCACGCCTGCCAAGCTCTGGTAGCGTGCGAATGATGGCACCCCCAGCCCCTGCGCACCACCTCGTTTGTCGAGGGAGTGCCACGCTTGCCACGCTCTGCAAGCGTGCGACGGATAGCGTTATCCCCACCCCCTGCGAACCCCCTCTGGTGTCGACAAAGTGCCACGCCTGCCACGCCCTGCGACTGACGTGTGCGTGTGCGTGCGGCTACATGTGCGCGTGTACCTATGCCTGCGTCTGTGTATGCTATGCATATGTGTGATGTGTGTGGGTGTGGGCGGCTGTGCGTGCGCATGTGGTTAACGTAGTACCGTGCATGTGGTGCGTGTGACTGGCGTGTTCGACACTTAGCGCGCCAAAGAAAAGGGAGGGAAAAGGGGAGGTGGGAGACGTGGATAGCGAGGAGGGAAGGTGGGTGAATGCGGGTGCGATGCGGATGGAATAAAACCAGAAACCCACTGAGCACGTGGGGACAAAACATTCAGACTGCAGCTGAAAGATGGCGAGAAAGCGGAGAAGAAGCAGGAAAGGCAGGAGCAGCAGGATACAAGGAGGATGAGCAGGCAGGAGGATGTGCAGGAGGAGGCGGAGGTGAAGGAAGCGTTGGAGGCGGGGGAGGAGAAAGAGAGACAAAAAAAGGAGGGGCGGAGGGAGGGAGGGAGCGGAGAGGAGAGGAAAGGCAAGGAGAGGGGGGAGGAGTGGAGAGGAAAGGAGAGAAGAGGAGAGGAGAGGAAGAAAGAGAAGAGAAGAGAAGAGAAGAGAAGAGAAGAGAAGAGAAGAGAAGAGAAGAGAAGAGAAGAGAAGAGAAGAGAAGAGAAGAGAAGAGAAGAAAAGAGAAGAGAAGGGAAGAGGAGAGGAGAGGAGAGGGAAAGGGGATAAAGAGAAGGGGGAAGATGATGTGGAGGACGAGGTGAAGGAAAAGGAGGAGGACCTGCATCAGAATGGGCATTTTTCGCCCGCTCTGGGCGCGCCCTCTGGGGAGGCTGCCACGTGGCCGCAGACTCCAGCGACGATCCGCCGGCCCGCCATCTCTCTCGCCGCCGGCCCCTTCTCCTCCCCTCTTCCTCCTCCTCCTCCTCCTCATCATCAGCATCATCAGAATCATCAGCATCATCAGCAGCAGCATCATCATCATCATCATCATCATCGTCATCATCATCATCATCATCATCATCATCATCATCATCATCATCATCATCATCATCATCATCATCATCGTCGTCATCATCGTCATCATCATGCTCCTCCTCTTTCTCCTACTCCTTCTCCTCCTCCTCCTCCTCCTCCTCCTCCTCCTGATCGTCTGCCTCCTCCTCATCATCATCATCATCGTCCTCCTCCTCCTCCTCTTGATCCTCCGCCTCTCTTCCTCATCCGCCTTCTCCTCCTCCTCCTCCTCCTCCTCCTCTCCTCCTCTCCTCCTCCTCTCTCCTTCCTCCTCCTCCTCCTCCTCCTCCTCCTCCTCCTCCTCCTCCTCCTCCTCTCCTGATCCTCCCCCCCTCTTCCTCCTCCTCCTCGCCTCTCCTCCTCCTACTCCTACTACTCCTCCTCCTCCTCCTCACCCTCCTCCTCCTCCTCCTCCTCCTCCTCCTCCTCCTCCTCCAGCCCTTCCCCTTATATATAACTCCTCCCTATCGCACCCCGAGGCCAGCTTTTAGGGCGGGCCAGGCGTTTCGCTTGAGACGTCCCACCATTTATGACTCTGAAGCTTACAATGGCACAAGCTTCACAGATGGAGGGCGGGTCGCTTTCAAAATGTGACTCTCGCCCTAGCGCCGCGCACATTCGTGTTTTTGCAAATTTGCAAGAGCTTCACGGATTGAAGGCGGGTCGTTTTCAAAATGTGGCTCTCGCTTTAGCGCCGCGCACATTCGTTTTATTAAACATTTGCAAGAGCTTCGCGGATGGAGGGCGGGTCGTTTTCAAAATTTGGCTCTCGCTTTTAATAAATTACCAGAGTTTCACGGATTGAAGGCTGGTCCTTTTCAAAATGAAACTCTCGCTGTAGCGCCGCGCACATTCGTTTTTTTGCAAGAGTTTCACGGGCTCGCCTGATCAGCGTACCAGAAAATGGTGTTTGGGAAGGGTTCAGGATTATGCGGGCACAGCAGTTATGTTGCTTCGCTGTGCTGAAATCCCAGAAATGGCATTATGGCACTATTCTGGATCGTCAGGACGCAGCAGACAGGTTGATACGTGGCGTTGAAATCACAAGAGCAATGTTTTGGCACGCTTCAGGGTATTCAAACGGTTGTCTTCCGACGAGGCAGTTCCCTCAATGGAAATGAAACGTTGCAGGGGCCTATGAAGAGGGAGCTTGGAGGGAGGGATCACTCCAACATCGTTGACGACTCTCGGGTTGCCACTCCTCCTCCTCCTCGCCTCCTCCTCCTCCTCCTCCTCCTCCTCCTCCGCCTCCGCCTCCGCCTCCGCCTCCGCCTCCGCCTCCGCCTCCTCCTTCTCCTCCTCATCCTTCTCCTCCTCCTCCCCTCCTCCTCCTCCTCCTCCTCCTCCTCCTCCTCCTCCTCCTCCTCCTCCTCCTCCTCCTCCTCCTCCTCCTCCTCTCCTCCTCCTCCTCCTCCTCCTCCTCCTCCTCCTCATTTTGGCTCAAGCGATCGCATTGGCCGCCGCCGTCCGCCCCGCGCGATGGCTCGGCCTAGAGGGGCCCCCTCGGCTGCGGTGGACGGCGTCGCCCTGCTGGCGGCCGCCGTCCGCGCCGCTGTGGAGGCGAAGGCGCCGCGCCGCACTGTGGCGGCGGTGGCTGGCGCTGTGGCGGCGGTCGCGCTCCGTGCGCGGACCGCGCCACCCGCGCCGCCGCCCGCCGCTGGTGCTGCGCGCGCCGAGGATGCGGATGCGCCCCCGCGCAGCTCCGCCGCGAAGGTCGAGCGCCGCCGACGCCGCCGCCAGCGCCTTGCGGCGCGGCGGGCGGCGGAGCGCGGCGGGGCGGCCAACGCGGCCGACGCTGGGCGTGGAGGCGCTGCTGACGGTGCCGCCGCCGCTGCTGGCCTCGAGCTCGTGCAGCTCCCCATGGTCGTCGACGTCGTCGACGACGAGTGGGCTGACGAGCTGCCGCCGCGCCGTGCGCGGAGGCAGCTGCGGCGCACCGACACGGTGGCGGCGGAGGACCCGCGTCCTCCTGCCGCCGCCGTGGCCGCTGCGGCGGCGGGCTGCGGCAGCGCGGCGGGCATGCAGGCGTTCCTCGAGGAGGCCTTCGCCGCGGGCGTGTCCCCCGCCGACGCCGCGGCCCTGGCTGCTGGGGGCCTCCTTCCGCGTGATGGTCCACGCGGTGGTGGTCCGGGGCCCGGGGCGGCCGGCCGCGGGAGGAGCAGCGGGGGGGGGCGGTAGGGGCCTCGCCGCTACGCGTGCAGGGCCCTCGCCCCTTCCCCCTCCCGCGGACATCGTGGTGCTCGTCGGCATGGTCGTGCTCGTCATCACGGTCGGGGGTCCTGCCCCGTCAGGACCCCCGTGCGCCCGCGCGCGCGGGCGCGCGCGCGGGCTTCGGGGGAGGCGGCACCGTCTCCTCTATGGCTCGTCGCCTCCTCCTCCTCCTCCTCCGCCTCCTCCTCCTCTCCTCCTCCCCCTCCTTCTCCTCCTCCTCCTCCCTCCTCCCCTCTCCCTCCTCCTCCTCTCTCCTCTCCTCTCTGATCCTCCTCCTCCCTCCTCCTCCTCCTCCTCCTCCTCCTCCTCCTCCTCTCCATCCTCCTACCGCCTGATCCGCCTCCTCCTCTCCTCCTCTCTCTCCTCCTCCTCTTCCTCCTCCTCCTCCTCCTTCACCTCCTCCTCCTTCTCCTCTTCCGCCTCCTCCTCCTCATCATCATCCTCATGATCATCATCATCCTCACCATTATCCGCATCCTCATTCTCATCCTCATCCTCATCCTTCGCCTCCTCCGCGTCCTCCGCCTTCTCCTCCTCCTCCTTCTCCGCCATCTCATAGTCATCCTCCGCGTTCTCCTCCTCCGCCTCATCAGCCTCATCAGCATTCCACCACCATCAGCATCATCAGCATCATCATCATCATCATCATCATCATCATCATCATCATCATCATCCTCATCATCATCATCACCATCATCATCATCATCATCATCATCGTCATCATCCTCATCATAATCGTCATCAACAGCATCATCAGCATCATCAGCATCAGCATCAACATCATCATCATCATCAGCAGCATCATCATCGTCATCGTCATCGTCAGCATCATCATCATCATCATCATCATCATCATAATCATCATCATCATCATCATCGTCATAATCATCACCATCATCATCATCATCAGCATCATCATCATCATCATCACCGTCGTCGTCGTCAGTATCAGCATCAGCATCAGCATCAGCATCATCATCGTCCTCCACATCCTCTTCATTGTTGTCCTCCTCTGCCTCCTCGTCGTCACGATCCTCTTCCTCGTCATCCCCATCCTCCCCATCATCATCAGCATCATCATAATCAGCATCATCAGCATCGTCACCACCATCATCATCATCATCAGCATCCCCTGCATCATCATCAGCATCATCGATACCACCATCCTAATCAGCATAATCATCATCATCATCATCATCATCATCATCATCATCCGTATCGCCATCATCGACATCATCGACATCATTACCATCATCGGCATCATCAGCAGCATCATCATCAGCAGCTGTATCACTACCACCACCATAATCGGTATGAGCATCATCGTCATCTTCATCATCATCATCACAATACTCATCATCATCATCACCACCACCACCATCACCATCACCATCAGCATCAGCAGCATCATCATCATCATCATCATCATCGGCATCAGCATCGTCATCAGCATCGTCATCATCCACTTCCCCCTCCTCCTTCTTCGCCTCCTCCTCCTGATCAGCATGTTCCTTCTCCCCATCCTTATCCTCCTCATCCTCCTCCTGAACCTCCCCTTCTATTCCTCCTCCTCCTCGTCCTCCTCCTCCTCTTCATCCCCCTCCTCCTCACCATCCTCCTCATCATCATCACATCATCAGCATCACAATCATCCTCGTTGTCATTCTCATCCTCATCATCACCAGCATCAGCATCATCATCAGTATCCTTCTCCTCCGTAGCCATGTTGGCTCAAGCGGCGCACCAGCGAGCACAGCCCCTTTGCTCGACCATCTCCATGTTGCTCAGGCGCTCCTGTGCTAGTCCAGCTGGAAGCTGGGCATAGTGGCACTACTCCGTTGCCTCCTCTGCACGCCTCTTGTGCATCTCCTTCAAATCCTCCATTACGCCCATACCAGTAGATGTGCATCTCATGCTGGCATGCATAACGCTGCTCCGCCGCGCCCTTCTCCGCGCGCTGGAGCACTAATTGTAGTTGTCCTTCAGCTTGTAGTACGTTGTGGCGTGCTTGCTGCTCGTGTTTTTCATGTTGGTCAGTACGCGATGGAAGTATCGCTCTTGATGTTGGGCCTGTTCCGCATCCCTTCTCCTGAGGAGGCGCTCGATATCTGTGACCCGTTTTTGGTATTCAGTACGGACACTGCAGATCGTCGTGTCTGCGTGCATTTCCTGGGGATGTAGCTCATGATGGGTTTGTTGGCGCTAGTCCTCTGCATCTCCGAATTTGATCCGCACCTCGGCTGCTTGTGCTTCGATGTTGGCGATGCTCTGTTCGGCCTCCTTGGCCATGTTGAAATAAGTTTGCCTCTCGTTGGCCAACCTTTCGGCTTCCCGTGGCTGCTGTTGCATGGTGGTTCGGTCGCGGCTGTTGTTGTCGTTGACCTCTTGCTGCCCGGTCCTGAGCTCGACTTGTATCTTGTCAATCGAAGCGTCGCCACGATGCTCAGGTGCACCCATTGTGGTACCCCTTATAGCCTCGAGCTCCTCCTCCGTCCTGTTGACGGCTGCGATATTTCTGGTTGTTCTATAAAGTCGTGATGTGCGGCCAGTGTGTCATGGGTCCTCCTCGCGGTGTAGATCTCGTTCTTCAGCTCGTTATGATAGCGACGGGCTTGTGATGCTTCCTCTTGTTGTCTTTTACCATGATCCTGTGTGTTTTCTTCTGCCGACCGTAAGTGTTTCTAGGGGGTGCGGATCTCGGCGTTGGCGTCGCTCTTGTCCTTCTTGATGTCGTGGGCCATGCGCTGGCTGTCCTCTCTCAAGGTCTTGAGGGGCATGCCGACGTCCTGGCCCTCCGCCGTCTCCCCCTGCCCTTGTTAGTCTTCTGGGAGCGTAGGCGCCCTTCTCTGTGGAGCGTCTCTTTGTAGTCTATCGGCTTCGTCATCACTGGCGCCTCTGTCACTGTAAATGCCGTCCCTGACAATGCTGACGTCGCGCTTCAAGGTGTTGATTGAGCTCGTCAATGCTGTCTTCCTTTATACAATATTATATATATATATACTATATATATAATATAGTATAGTCTTCCATGGTCCTGTTGTCTGTTTCCCTGGCTTGTTGGGCCAGGGGCATGCCGTTGAGGAACTTGGCTTTGGTGACGGCGATCTGGGCGACTGCATCTGTACTAGGTAGTCCTGCAGCACTGTGTTTCGTAATAGCTGCGGCTGGCCATTTCTGCTCGATGGTCTTGTACGTCTTCCAGTCGCCCCTGAGCTCGGGGTCAGATGGCGGTAGCTCCCTGTTCGGCCTTCGGACCTCGTAGACCTTCCGCATCGGCATGACATTGTTGGTCGTGTTGGCGATGTGGTCGTTATGGTTCTGGGTGGTGTCCTTCTTTTTAGTCGCGGTGTCTTGGTCGGGTTGTGCCTTGGCCGTTTCCCTTGCCTTGTTGTTCTTGGTGTTGCCCTTCTGGCTGCGGCTGTCCGGCTCGTAGTTGTCATCACAAGACTTTGGGATGCCCCCCTTGCCCTTTGCCGCTGTTGCCCTTGCCGTTGTAGCCCTTGTTCTAATAGGTGTCGGGGTGGCCGTTGGCTCACTGCTCCGTCCACTTCTTATTCCTCCAGCGCTCGAGGCCTGCCCTAATCGCCAGTGGGGTAGGGCGTGGTGTCGGCCCTCTGCTTGGAGTGCGGCACGATGTTGATCCCCAGGGTGGTGGCGTTGTTCCCGATCCACTCGCGGTTGATTCCCAAGGTGCTGCCATTGTGCAAGCCTGAGGTGGATGTCATGGTGGTTGCTGTGCGCTGTGATGCGCTTGAAGTAGTTCTTGTGCAACGTGGAGACGGTGCTGCGTAATTATGTTGATCGAGTAGTGGACGTTCACTTGAAACACGTACCATTACTCGTGCAGCAATTCGACGTTCCAGATTGTGCCGATGCCAAGCTGAGGTGGTCGAAATAGAAGTTGTGGTGTCATTGGAAGGGAACAGATGTAAGCGCAACGGAGTGTAAGAGCATAGGTTAGAAAGGATGTGAGCAGTGCCGGGGGAAAAAATAAGGTTTCAATCGAGGGTGGCCCCCAAGGGCTGGCACACTTCCATTTTTGTTGCGCAAACCGTGGTTTCCTCCTCGTCGTCATCATCGTCGGCAGCAGAATCATTAGCATCATCATCATCATCAGCACGTTCATCATCCTCAGCATCATGGTCATCCACATCCACATCATCATCATCATCATCATCATCACCACCACCATCACCACCACCATCACCACCATCACAAGCATCACAATAATCACCATGCTCCGCAACGTGCTCGTCGTCGTGTTCGTCATTGGCGTTTTCGTCGCCGTCGACAGGAGAAGGAGAAGGGCGATAAGCGAGAAGGACAGGCGAAAGTGTAAGAAGGGCGAGTGCGATGAGGCGGTGGAAGGAGGTAAAGGAGGGGGAGGAGGAGGAGGAGGAGGAGGAGGAGGAGGAGGAGGAGGAGGAGCGAACGTCGCTCCAGAGGAAGAGTCGCCTACCTACCCGTGCGTGCACGTGCAATATCAAGGCAACGAAGTAAGTGCTGTGGCCCAGAACCAGGGTGCGCAGATATGATAGCGTGCAACTGGTGCGTCAGGCTAAGCCTCAAGACCGACCGATCGAGCGAGTCATCGGGGGTCGAGGCATGGTCCCGCGAGGACCCAAGACAAAGCTTCATTAATACAGAATTGGAACAAAATTCCCGAGGAAAACAGGCAGCCCACCATAGGTGCCGACACCTCAGATAGTGGGACATATTGTCAGACCCATTCTCACAGCCGAATTTACACGGGGCCGAACGGACATTCGTGACATGCATTCTGGCCGCTGTGGGCCATGCTCCGCACATTACTTTGATCACCGCCCACCTCACCCCCCTCCCTTTATTACGAAGGACGCACTTAAGCGCCTCCCATCTCTGCGCCAACACACGTGTGGCGGGCGCACGCACCTGCCACACAGCCAACCTCTTCCTGAATGTGACAGGAAAGGAATCAAGATAGAGGAGAGACGAGAGGATGGAGCGGTAGGTGGACTGGAAAGAAAATCGCTTTTTCCTCCTCTCACGATGGGGCTGCGCCAGCCACGCCGCCTCCGCTGCCAGCGAGCGCCTCTTCGCGGCGCGCAGGCAGGCCTCCGTCCGATGGCGATTCCTGGGTCTGCTGGTCGGCGTACAGCACCCCATGGCGTCCCTGAGGAGGAGGAGGAGGAGGAGGAGGAGGAGGAGGAGGAGGAGGAGGAGGAAGAGGAAGAGGAAGAGGGCGATGAGGCGAGGAGGAGGCAGGGGAGGGCGAGGAGGGCGTGGGAGACGAGGAGGAGGAGGAGGAGGAGGAGGAGGAGGAGGCGGAGGTGAAAGGGAGGTCCAGGCCCCAGTTGGCGCGGTCTTCTAAGAAGACCGCCTGTACCATTACCAAGCCCGGTTGTCGTTCAAGACGGGATGTGGCATACGAGTTCTGATACACGTGAATGTGATCACTGCCATCAATGTCGCCAATGCCGTTGCCGCCGAAGCTTTCGTCCTCGTCGCTTCCCCTCCCTCTTCCCCTCATCCTACCCTCCCCTCTGCCGCCCTCCATAGGGGAGGGAGGTCGGAGAGGGGCAGAGGCAGCGGCGAGCAAAGACGGCGGGGCCACGTGGAACAAACCCTTCAGGACACTTGCCCCCTACAACGGGCCCACTCGTGGGGGCCCTACAATAGGGCCACAAATGAATGAGGCCACCACCGTGTGGCCTCACAACATGGCCACCGTGAGGGCCTACAGTAATACTAATACCGCCTAGTTCGTATTCCTGCACCACGACCACACCAGCGATAACATGAGGAATGGTGCCAAACAGCCAAATCGAAGCTAAGGGGGTCGGTTAGCAATGCTACAGCTTGACCGTGCTCCTACAGTAAAGCCACCCATAAGAGCATCATGTACAGTGTGGCCTCACAGTCGAACCACGCTCCTTTCCAAGCACATGCTCGAGTAACTCGCGTCGCCTCCCTATCCCCAGAGACGTCCTCTCCCTCGACCTTCTCCTGATGGGGGGCCTGGTGGGGGGGCGGCAGGCATCACCGGCCGCCGCGATGTCTTCCAGCACGCTCCTGCGGTGCAGAAGCCACTTGGCGACCAGGCCCTCCTGGTGCGGGACATGCCAAGCCCGGACGTCCGACGACATGATTTTTTCCATGCACGGCCCCAGAGGTCCCGACCCCTTCCCTGAGTATCGTTAAACCGATCCCGATACCCAGGGGCGTGGCCTGGGCCCCACTGGCCGATCTACCCCCCTAGGTGGGGATATAGGCCGTTCCCTTCGGGTTTCGAGGGGTGTATCCCCAACTCGGGGGGGTGATTTGGTGGGGGCCTCGAAGAGGATGGGGATGGGGATGGGGACTGGTTAAACGGTACCGATTCCCCTGGGCCAGCTGCTCGCCCCGGACCCGTTTTTGGTGGCCCCGGGGCCCGACCACGGCCCCCGAAGGCCGAAACCGCGGAAAAAGCACCGGTTGCAATAAAACAAAACAAACAATTCAAACAAACAAAAAAAAACGCGTCGTGGACGGGCTGGGGAGGCCCGCCTCTCCCATCCAGGCCGAGCCGATCCTCGGCCCAAGAGCGGTGCGCCCGCCCGCCCGGCCCTCGGCCCTGCAGGCCCGTATATATCCCGAGCCTGGGGACCATGACAGCCCCGCCAGGGCCAGCGAGGTGGCCACCCAGACCCCCGGGGTCGTGACTGTCTCTAGGGGAACGAAGGACGACATAAACATAAAAACTCGGAGGTCCGCGCGGATTTCCTGGATTGGCGCTGGTGCCCCCTGGCGGCGCCCGCCAGGGAGGGCGGTCGAGCGCCGATCTGAGAAATCCGCGCGGATCTCCGAGTTTTTATGTTTATGTAATTGTTCGTTCCCCTAGCTTCCCAACGCATACCCCCTTGAGGTCTGGGTTCTCTCTTACGACACAGCCAAAGCTGATAGCAAGCATGCACGGTAAGGATGCATGGGGCCTCGGACGCGCATGTCGAAGCGTTTCGAGCGGGGCTGGCCATCGAAAGTAAGTGAGGATGGGCCAAAGATGCCCGAAGAGGCAAGGATGCAAGGGTACCCTTGGGAAGTCGATTATCCTTACTATCGGCTTCGACTGTAGAAGGAAACAATTACTGGACACTCCCACTCCCCCCAATGTAAAGTTGGCGCGCGCGGGGGGAAGACTACGGTCGAAGTGCAACTCATTCAACCCACCGCCGACATGGATCATTGGGGGGTATTGACAGATGACTGTGGCATTAATGCTCGCTAATTTCTTCCGAGGCCCGTGGAGGCCTCCCCCGAATGGGGTCCGAGTAGATGGGGTTGAAGGATCGCGCCGCCTCGCCGATGCATCGCCGAATCGGGGACGCACCGCGATGCATCGGCGATGCATCGGCGACGTCGGCGATGCATCCGCGACGTCGGCGTGGAGCAAATCGGGCTCCACATCGAGCCAAATCGCCGACGCATCGGCGATGCGGAGCGATACTTCGACCCCATTGACTCGTCAGACCCCGTTTTGGTGGCCCAGAGATTCCCCAAGGCCACCTGTTTCGTTTCACCCTGAGCCGCTTTCTGCCATCCCTTTTGGCCCGGCAGGGGCCCCAGAGGCCGGCATAGGCCAAGAACCTCCTGCCGTACTCTTGTCCGCGACGCGAGAGGGGCTCGCTCTCGGGCCAGACTGCTCGAGCCTCCCGTGGCCGTTCGGGACGACCTGGGCACCCCCCGAAGGCTCTGGGCGAGGCGCGGCTGCTGCCAGGCACCCCGAGGTGAGAAGACCTCCCAGAGCCCACGGAAACGTCCGAAAAAAACCCGGCCTCCGGCGACCTCCCGAAGCTCACCCCAGACATCCTCCGGCATGATTTCTTCGATGCGCGGCCCCGAGGGGTCCCGGCCCCTTCCCCGAGGGGTAATCTTGCGTCCAGGATCCCCGTCTGATGCCCCTGGTGGCCCGAGGACGGGGCCCAGGAGCCCGAAATGAAGGCCAAGCGCCGCGCCACCGCCAAAAAAAAATCCTCGGCCGTCTGGGGCTGGCGTCCCCTCATCCTGGATTTTCGTTTGCCCCTGCAACGAAACATCGCCTGAAGGCTCGCTCGCTTTGCCACTCATGGACCCGAACGCCACCACGGCCGTGCACAGGAACCCATGTCTGCGCAGGAACAAGATCAGGAGGAAAGCAGAGGTGGGGGCATGATGTTTGTACACAACCCTCACAAAACACGCTGGTCCAACACAGGACCGCGGAGCGGGGGCTGCGCACAAAGATGGTATCCCCAGGGGACACGATGCTTGCACACCACCCCCGCAGGCAAGCTGGTCCGACACAAGGCAAGCGAGTAGGGGCGGTGGCCATAAATCGGCCCCCGAAGAGGTCGTCCCCCTCGTCCATCCTGATCAGCGTCAATTCGTGCACCATCCTCGCGATTCGGCGACGGCCGACATGGACCATGACCAAGATCGGCATCGACAAGATCCCACGACATCCTGGTCATGGTCACCGTGTTACTACTGCCCTCCGAAACCAACCGAAACGGATCTCTACGCAAGGTCCCCTCCGGCCTGCGGGCCACAGCCCCTGACCCAGACCGAAGGGGAAACAAAACTGCAACGGCCGCTCCCAGCCGACCTCGCGCTGCCAGGGTGGCGGACGCGCGCAAGGCCAAGACGCAGTGCAAACAGGAGGAGGCGGCGGCGGCGGCGAAACGGTGTCGAGCTTGAATCACAATCCGATAAAAGTCTGGACTGTGCCACCGACCGCGCGCAAGAAGACTCTGCGATGGGACGGCCCCACGGCGGGAGCCCCGAACTGTCCTCGCTCAACCACAGCCATCGAGCACGGACGGCGAACTGCAGATCGGGACAGGCGAGCGCCCTGAGACCCCCTCGGGCCCATCGAGGAGGAACGAAGAGCGGTCCACGTGCCTCTTGCCCGCCTCGAGGAGCAGAGCCCGCCCCGCCCCCCCCCCGAGTCCTGGGGGTACAGCCGCCACACGCGCCGCAGGGCCGCGGCGGCCTCCCCGCCGTCCTCCGCGGCCGCGGCGCCCTCGAGGGCGGAGAGCAGCAGCGACGCCTGCTGGGCCGGCCGAGGGGAGGCGAGAGGGGCGGCCAACGGTCGGACTTCTTTTGTTTGCACGCCGGTCGGGACGAAGCAGGCAGAAACAGGAGGCAGGAGGGCGGATAAAGTAGATTCAGTTCGGGCCCTCCCAGAGAAGGCGCCAGAAGTAAATGTGGATCACACATGTCGTTGCGCCGTTTGTTCTGAACGCGCCCAAGTGGACGACCCCAACACCACGACAAAACCCGAGGCAAACCCTGCGTCCCGAACCCCAAGTAGACAACGCTGGCACCACGGCAGGCCCCACGGCGAGCCCACCGCGTCTGAGTCAGCTTTTGCCCTGGTCCCCAAGCCACTAGGCCGCACATCGGGACAAACGGCGCGGCGACATGTAATGAATACTACTCCCATTTCTGCCCTGAATCTGCCAGGAAGATGTCCCGCCCTCTCCGCGTATTGTGTTTGACTAGACTGGACAATAGTGTTTCTCCTTATGGTCTTCTTCATCCGGTCACTGCTGGTGTTTCAACATGGTGTTCCTGCTGCAGCGTGGGCCTCATTTTCAGGTCGGCGATGTGCTCCCGTCGTTGAAACGTGCGCATTCGGCCCAGCGCGGGCCACACTTTTAGATCCGAGTCCTTCCTCATCGTTGTCGCCTCCTCATTTCCCCCCCTCTGCCTTCCCCTGGTCCTCCTGCTCTTCCGCTCCTTCCATTCCAGCTCATGCTGCTGCTGCTGCTGTTCATCATTGTCGTCCTCCCTCCTCATCCTCCTTCTCCTGTGGTAGTTGTTCGTTCCAGATCCCTTTGTGATTGCCCCAGGGCCCGAGAACTGGCTGGGAAAATCGCTGGGACTGCAAAAGATCAGATCGCCGGAAATCTGGCAGGAGAGCCCAGAATCGAATCAATGAGTCGGATCGGCGATATAAATGAATCGGATCGGCGGAAATCGGCAGCCGAATCGGTAGAAGTCGAATCGACGGAAATCGGCAGGCTAGCAGGCCTCCATTGAGAATCCGAAGTCGAATCGAATCGGAATCGGAAGTCATCGAAATCGAATCTAATCGAATCGGAGGAATCGCAACCAGCCCTGTCTTCTGGGCACTTCGATCCCATCCGGGAGGCCTGGACATTGCCCCCCCCCTTTCGTCCGGCCCGGGCCTGGAGCGCATCCAGGCCGTCGAGCACCGCGCGGAGCGCCGCGGGCGCCTCACTAAAGAAGCAGGGCAGGGCCTCGTCTCCTCTCTCTCTCTATCACTCTCTCTTTTTCTCTCTCTCTCTCTCTCTCTCTCTCTCTCTCTCTCTCTCATCATAAATAAACGTGTATATGCACACACATTGTAGTTCTATGTAAAAATGATATGTTGGACACCTTTCGGCCTCCCTTGCGTTGTTCTCGTTGGCTGTCGGACGTTTTCTCGCCTCGGGATGCTTGCCAGCAGACGCCTCGCCGAGGGCACTCCGGGGGCCACCTGTCGCCATTTGGCGGATACACGCTCGGAGGACCAGCTTGCCTGGCCAGGCGAGGGCCGAGCGCTGGGAAAGACGTATGGCCACGTGACCAGTTCCGAAAACTCAAAATCCCACCCCCACCCCCAAAAAAATTGCATCTCTTGGGGCGCATCTTTTACTCCCGCCGCCTTCCGCTGGCCTTCCGCCGCCTTCCGCCGAGGAAGAGACGGCAACTCCCTCGGTCCTCGAATGCGAGTCCCTTTCTGGAATGCCTCATATGGCCACGTCTGTATCCAGCCCTGGCTCAGGCAGGCCACGCCATGCGTAGCCAGCGTCCCAGTAGGCTGTCGGAGGCCCGCGCGGATTTCCTGGGCCAGCGCCGTATGCCTCCATCCCCTGGCGGTGCCTCCAGCGGCAGCGCTGGAGGGGCACGGCCAGGGTGGAAAGCGGCCAGGGGGTCTGCGTTAGATGGGCCCCCAAGGAAATCAGTCAGGGTGGGGAGAAGAGAACTCACCACTACCACCACCACCACCACCACCACCACCACCACCACCACCTTGAGGATGGAAGCAGAGAGTGGTCAAGGGAGGTGGTCGTGGTGTATATCGTTTCGGGCGCGCTAGCGTTAAGTCGGGCCTGTCCCCCGACAGGCCGTTTTAAGACAAAAAAACAAAGATAGTCAAAAAATACCCTAAAATATTCAAACAAAAAAAAATGTATATTATTGTATATATATATAAAAATGTCATTACTGTTTTCTGACTATTCTTGAATATTCCTCCTGTAGAGGGACAGGCCCGACTTCACTCTAGCGGGACATCGTGCACACCCGCCTCCCGCACGCCAACTCATCCTCAAGCCCCGCAGGTGGTGATGAGGGGGGGAGTGCGCTTCCTGTTCCCAGTCGCGGGGGGAAAGGTGAGCGAGGGCAAATCCGCTCAAAATCGGACCCCGAACCCCTCACAGGGCCGAAACTGACCACACTTCCGAGCCACGTCCAGCCATGGCGACGAGGTCAGGAGAGCCCAGACTCGAATCGACAAGTCGGATCGGCGATCGAAATGAATCGGATCGGCGGAAATCGGCAGCCAAGTCGGAAGAAGTCGAATCAACAAAAATCGGCAGGCAAGCAGGCCTCCATTGAGGAATCAGAACCGAAGCCGGAATCCGAAGTCGAATCGAATCGGAATCGGAGGCCATCGAAATCGAATCGAATCGAAACGAGCCCTGCTAGGAGGCCCCCTTCACCCCGGCCGGAGCCAGCACCTCCGCCCCCCAAGTCGGCTCCGAGGCCAAGGAGGGGCCCAGCGCCGACCTTCAAGACATCCGCGCGGGCCTCTGGAGGCTTGTGCTTTCTGCCCTTTTCGCTGCTGCTGGAGCCTCCCCAGCCCCGCCCAGCGCGGCGGCCATCGCCTTCAGAGGGCGCGCCAAATGCACACACATACCGACCCTGGCGAGGCCCATCCTGAGCCTACGGTAGGGTCGAGCATGTCCTCCTACGGGCGGATGAAGGAAGAAGAGTGTGAAAAATTGTCCCAAAATATTCAAAACAATGGTAGAAAGATCATCCCCAGATTACAGTTGGGGCGTTGACCTAAGGACCCCTAAATAAGGAACGAGGACCATTTTTCCCATAAGTTCAACCTCGATTTTCCATGGAAAACCTCAGGAAAACCCGAGGCAAACTTTGAACAATCAAGGAACACCGAGCCCCTCCCCAACGAAAAGCGTTCCTTCTTCAGGGCTCCGACTGTACTGTTTGACTATTTTTGAACATTCCTCCAGTAGAGGGACCTACCCGACTTGAGCCTGGGATTGATCCGGGCGCCCTCGTGGCCTGGCCAGGAAGGCACACGTGCACACACCGACCCCGGCCTGGCCAGGGTCGGTGTCGATCTGGCCGACTCCGAAGCCCTGGATCTAAAAATGCTGCCGCCGCCTTCCGCCGGCGGAGCCGCCGCTAGTCTACATCCTCCGGCTTCCGCCAGCGTTCCGCCCGTCTTCCGCCGAGACAAAGCAAAAAAAAAAAAAAAAAAAAAAAAAAAAAAAAAAAAAAAAAAAAAAAAAAAAAAAAACCAAAAAAAAAAAAAAACACGGCGAGGCCCTCTCCTTCACGGAGCGCCCCTACGTATTAAGATCGCCCGTCGCCCGAAAATGTTGAGGTCTCATGTTGAACCGGCGAATTACACGTAAGAGTGACCCTATGCAAGAGCGACCTTTCGTGCGCGGACTCACGGGGCGCAAGGTGGCCACATGCAAGCGCGCAAGCAGCCGCTACCGCATCGCGCTCAGCGATCGGGGGGGACCCCGGTGAGTCCGCACCACAGGTCACTCCGGCGAAGGTTCACTCCTACGCGTAGTCGAACGCTGAAGTCCGCCGCCTTCCGCCGACCTTCCGCAGGTGGAGCCGCCGCCACCTCGGCCTCCGTCGGGGCCGCCAGCCCCCGCGGGCGCACGCCAGAGGCAACACGTGCCGAGGGCGAGGCCCCCTCCAGCCTGCGCGGCCGTGGCCAGGGACCCGGCGCACTGGTTTGTTTCTGCAGCACGGGGTCCCCGCGAGTCCAGACCTAGACCTTTGACGCAATCTTGGATCCGTACACCTCCTCCTCCTCCTCCTCCTCCTCCTCCTCCTCCTCCTCCTCCGCCTCCTCCTCCTCCTCCTCCTCCTCCTCCTCCTCCTCCTCCTCCTCCTCCTCCTCCTCCTCCTCCTCCTCCTCCTCCTCCTCCCTCCTCCCTCCTCCCTCCTCCCCTCCTCCCTCCTCCCTCCTCCCTCCTCCCTCCTCCCTCCTCCCTCCTCCCTCCTCCTCTCCATTCCTTTTCCTTATATTGAGACATGAAACATGGGATACAAGTGCGTGGTGTTAAACCTCCTGGGAGCTCCCACAGGCCAGAGAGCCACCAGGACACCGCGCGACACGCGCGATACGCAGGGCTTACCCTGTCAGCCCACCGGAGGTTCAGCACACAGCGCCTCGTAAACCAGAGTAGGGGCATTTGTTACACCCTTGATTAAATATAACTCTTCCCTGTAGCACCCCAAGGCCTGTCGAAAGGGCGGGCCGGGCGTTTCACCTAAGATTTCCTCACAATTATGACCCTGATGCTCAAAACTGACAACAGCTTCACACATGGAGGGCGGGTGGTTTTCGAAATGTGGCTCTCGCCCAAACGCCGCGCACATTCACTGTCAAAATTTGCTAGAGTTTCACGGATGAGGGCGGCTTGCTATTAAATGTGCAAGAGCTTCACGAAGTAAGGGCGGGTCGTTTTCAAAATGTGTCCTTCGCCCAAACGCCGCGCACTCTGGTTCAAAAAATGTGCAAGAGATTCACGGAATGAGGGCGGGTCGTTTTCACAATATGGCTCTCGCCCTAGCAGCGCGCACACTCGTTCAACAAAAAATCAAAAGCTTCACGGATTGAGGGCGGGTCGTTTTCAAAATGTGGCTCTCGCCCTAGCGGCGCGCACTCTCGTTCAAAAAATGTGCACAATATTCACGGATTGAGGGCGGGTCGTTTTCAAAAAAAAGTGGCTCTCGCCCTAGCGCCTCGCACATTCGATTCAAAAAGATGCGAAAGCTTCACGAATTGAGGGCGAGTCGCTTTCAAAGTGTGGCTCTCGCCCTAGCGCCGCGCACATTCGTTCAAACAAATCTCAAGATCCGCGCGGATTTAGAGCGAGTCGTTTTCAAAATGTGGCTTTCGCCTGCTCGCCGCGCACATACGTTTCAAAAATTGCAAGAGCTTCAATGGTTCTCGGTAAGCGTACAAGACATGGTGCTTTATGAAGATTCATGATTGTCAGGGCGCAACAGGTACCTTGATTCGCGGTGTTGAAGTCCCAGGAATCGCCAAGATGTAACAATCAGATTAACACGTGGCGTTTAAGTCCTGGGAGCGGTGTTTTGGCAAGTCTCCAAATAATCACACGATTGCCCCCCAACCGGACAATTCTTTCAGCGGAAATTACCCATTGTAAGGGCCTCTGAAGAGGAACCTTGGAGGGAGGGTGTATTTCAACATCGTCGATGAGTCTTGGGTTGGGTCCTCCTCCTCCTCCTCCGCCGTGGCCAGGGATCTGGATCCCCGCAAGTCCAGACCTGGACCTTTAATGCAATCATGGATCCGTGCACGTCGGTCGGAAGAAGTAAATAAAAGAATGAAGCGGGAAGGCGGATAAAATAGATTGGGTTTCCGCCCGCCCCCTAAACAAGAGGGAACAGGGAAAACCGCTCGACTCTTGGAGTAGGAAGGCGGCTAAAATACATGGGATCTGGCAGTCCAAAAATACCGACTTCCAACGACCGACGGGCACTGCCACGCTTCGGCCCGCCCTGGGCTCACGGATCTATCATGCGACTCTGTGCTGCCGCGACAACCCGCAAAGCGGGCGGATCCTACTCTTAGGACCTCCAGGTTCCCCAGGGCCGATTTTCACCCTGGGTCGTTTCTCGACGGCCCCGGGGCCCCCCAGAGGCCGAGCCGGCGGAGGCCGCCGTATAGCGCTTTGCAAGATCGCGTTGGAGGCCGGGCTTTCGGGCCAAAACTCGAGCCACCAGCGACCCTGTCGGCATGCGTGAGGCGTTTTTCCGTTTGGGTCGCCGTCGCCGTCGCCACTCCCTCCTTTGCCCTGCGCCCTCCTCCTCCTCAAGCATGTCCAGCCAGACAGAAATCAAACAACGCCGCAGTTGATCCGAAGGGAAGCCCCTTCCCTTGGATCCCTTCCCTGGCGGGGGGGGTAGCGGGGGGGGGGGTCCCAGGGGAGGTCCTGGGGTCAGTGAAGGGGCCCTGGGACACACAAATAAATACTCACACAAATAAGAGGATTCCCCATATTTTCCAATATTTTCTGGGTTTTTGTTTTCCCCCCACTTCCAATATTTTCCCATATTTTCCTGGGGATCGAGGACTAATTTCGTCTGTGTGTTAATTTTTCCCTCCTGAGTCAGGGAGAACAGCGGACAAAGGGACCACCCTGCCCCCCTTCCTCCTGCCCCCCCCCCCCCCGGAGGCACCCTCCTCACTACCATTTGCTGCTGCGGGGTGCTGCACGGTTTCCGACATGCCTCCGAGAGGCCTCGGGGCTGCTCCGAGGCGGCTCCAAGTGGCCACGGAGCCTCCCAGGAAGACCCCGAAAGAGGCCCCCCAACAGAGCCCAATAGGCTCGCAAGAGAGCGCCAAGAAGGGCTCCAGATCGTCAGCGCCGCCGCCGCCGCCGTCGTCGTCCGCCGTCAGGGTCGGCTGCACTGGCCTTAAGGCCTTCCCAATACGATGAAGGTCTGGCTTTCGGGCCAAAACTCGGGCCTCCAGCGGCCGTTCGGGACGATCCTGCCACCCCGTGGACGCCCTCGGCGAGACGCGGCTGCTGGCAAACATCCCAAGGCGAGAAAACCACGGACATCCTACGAGAACGTAGAAAAGCATCTATCCTCCTCCCCGCGAAAACGTCCCTCATTGAGTACACGGGAGGTCGGGGTGCCGAGACATCCGACGATACGTTTTTGTTCAAGGCGCTGCCCCAAAGGTCCCGACCCCTTTCTTGGGGCCGGCTTCTCGCCCCGGAACAATATTTCATGGCCCAATTCGAAGGAAAAACGCCAGTTGCAAAAAACAACATCTCGTCGGAGGTCTGGGTGCATGGTCTCAAGAACTCCGATGCCTTGATTTTGGTTCAATGCGGGGTCCCCGGAAGTCCGGACTTTTTCACAGGGACGGCTTCGCATCCAGTCGATTGTTGACGGTCTCAGGGCCTGGCGAGGACCCCCTGAGGCCGAAAACAGCCAAACACCTTCTGGCGGCGTGATTCTTGTCGCAACGCCAGCATGTCCAGGATCAGTCAGAATCAAATCGGGAAATCGGATCGCATCTGAACGTGCATCGAATCGGGCCGCATCGGCACCGAGTCGGAATCGAATCGAGTCGTCTGCGCCAGGATGCACAACAGCGCCATGTAAGCCTCGGGCCGCATCGGATCGTCCGAAAATCGGACTCGAATCGAATCGGGCCGGCTGGAACCGACATCGAATCGGATCTTTCGGATCGAAATGGACCCTGATGTCTGGGCACGCGGGCTGCTGAAAGAAGGAGCGGTACAGGAGGAGCGGAGCTCCTCTTTGGCACCATCAGAGCCTGGGTGCACGAGGAGGGCCAGAGGAATATCACGGAAGGACATGAGATGCAGCGAGCCCCTTCCGAACCCAAAGCGGTCCCTAATTATTTCAGCGTTTTGGCTGTACACGCCAGTCGGAAAAAGTGTGTAGAAACATGAAGTAGCAAGGCGTTGGAAGTAGATTGGGCTTCCGCCCGCCCCCTGAAGAGGAGGGAAGAAGGAAACGTGTCGATCTTTGAAGTAGGTAGGCGCTCAAAGTAGATTGGGACCCGTAAGTGCACACGTGCCTGCTTCCAACGACCGGCGTGCAGCCCTCGTCGCCCGAGGTCGCCTGCGGCAGGCGACGCCCGTGGGCCCGCAGCGGGCGGCGCCAGGCGGCGTGGAGCGGCGGGCTCGAGGAGCGCGCGGCGGCCACGACCTCTCACCGTCCGCGGGGGGTGGGGGGGGGCGAGGGGAGGGAGGGCAGGGAAGGAGGAGGCAGGGAGGGAGGAGGGAGGGGGGAGAGAGGGAGGGAAGGAGGGGGGGCGGGAAGGAGGGAAGAGGGAGGACGGGGACTGAGGGGGGGAGGGAGGAGGGAAGTAGATGAGAGGGGCGGGGGGGAAGGAGGAGAAGGAGGAGGAGGAGGAGGAGGAGGAGGAGAAGGGGGGTCGGGGAAAACGAAGGGGAAGAAGGACAACGAGGAGAGAAAGAGAAGAGCAAGGTAAAGGAAAAAGAAAAGAGGGAGAACGAGGAGAAGGAGGGGAGAAGGTGGTGAAGGGAAGGGAGGTGGAGCAGCACAAGGAGAAGCAGGGCGAGACGCAAGAAAGAGGTGAGGCAAGAGAGGGGGGGGGAAGCACGGGCACGACCGGGAGGAGGAAGAGGAGGAGAAGGAGGAGGAAGACGGGGAGGATGGATGAGGAGAAGAAGGAGGAAGAGAAGAGAAGAGAAGGAGGACCAGAGTTAACCCAAAATGTATCGACGATGTTGAAAGACACCCTCCCGTCCAAAGCCCCCTCTTCGACAATCTCTGAAAGCATCTTCGCTGCGCGAGGCGACCCCCGTGGAAGACGAGCGCCACCAGTGGACCCACAACTCTGTGGCGGGGCTCCGCCTTGAACAAACAACGCCCTCCATCTTCCGAGCTGGTCCTGCGTGCGCGTGCGATCTGACCAAGCTTTTGCGTCGCCGGCTAGGCAGGGGTCGTCTGCGCTGGCGGCAGGAGCTAAATAAGCGGGGACACCTTTGTAGTCAATTGGCCAAAACGCAGGATCTGAATAGACAAGAGGAAAAAGAAGACGAAGCGACGAGGAGGAGAGGGATGGAGACCTTTCCGTTGCATGGCGGCCACGCGCTCTGTAGGTCGGGTGAGCTACCTCACCCGACGAAGTCTCTGAGGCACCCCAGTCGTTAGATATGTGGCGCCCTTCAGCGCGCGGACCGGCCTCAACGCCACTAAATAAAACCTGCAGGCAGTCGAGCGGCGGGGGCGACCCCGCCCGCCCGGCCGCGGCCAGCGCCGAGCCCATGAGAAGCCCGAGGAGACCAGGAGGTCGCGGCGGCAAGCCCCGCCCTAACTCCCAAGGATATTGCCACCCAGGCTTGAGCCCGGCGGGCACAGCGGGCGGCTGGCGCGAGAAAAACCGAGCCGAAGCCCAGGCGGCCAGCGGCGGGGCCGGAGCTCCCAGCAGGCAGGCGGCGGGCACGCCAGGCCCAGCGGCCGCAAGGGGGGGGCCGGACGGCCAATGCCCACGCCCCAGGGCCGCCCCCGAGCTGCGCCCCCCTACAGGGCGCAGCAGGCGACACGGTCTTGCGAGTAGAGCCCGCCACAAGTCGATCTGGCCGCCAAGCCCAAGCCACGCCCACGAAGCAGCGGGCGACCGGCCACGCGAGCACCCACGATGCCAACCAGAGGCAGCAACTGGGGATCGCGCCCGACGATGCCACCGCGGCACTCGAGTGTCGGGCGGTTGGCCGCGTTGGGCTCGGAACTGTTCGAGGCGCCACTCACCTTGGCCGCTTCCGCCGGGGGCTCACCTCCTAACGCCGGGAAGAAGGTTGGCGAGATGGAGCAGCCTATCGCGGGCGCCTGGCGCGCACCACGGCGGATAGGCTCAGGCCGAGCGCCTGGGGGGCGCCCGCGGTGGACTGGGGCCCTGGGGTTGCCAGCGACGCAGCGTCTCGTCTTGCAGCAAGGGGTGCCCCGAGGAGCACCGAGCTGGGGGCCGCTCGGAGGGCGGGGAGGCGCTCTCCTGCGTCATTGGGGCGGCGGACGGCGAGGCCGCCGGGCCAGACAGCTACTCAGATTGGCAGGAGGGGAGCGGTCCGCCGTCGGCTTAGCGCTTAACGTGGAGCAGCCCACCGCGGTCGTCGATCGGCAAAGGAGAATGCAGGCGGGACGGCGGCGGGAGGCCGCCCGTTGCCTGCGGCGGCGGCGCCGCTCGTAGCCCTTGGCCCCGCGGGCGGGGCGGCGGCGCGCGACCACCTGTCCTGCGGCAGCGGTGCTCAAGGCCTTTGGCCCCGCGGGCGGGGGCGGCGGCGCGCGGCCACCTGTCTTGCAGCGGCGGTGCCTCTCGAGGCCCGTGGCCCCGCGGGCGGGGCGGCGGCGCGCGGCCGCCTGTCTTGCGGCGGCAACGCCGCTCGAGGCCCTTGGCGCCGCGGGCGGGGCGGCGGCGGACGGCCACCTGTCGCCCGCGGAGGCGGCGCCGTTCGAGGCCAATGGCCCCGCGGGCGGGGCGGCGGGCGGCGGCGGCGGTGCCGCTCGAGGCCCTTGGCCCCCACGACTCGGGAGCGCCCCTCGGCGGGCGCGAGGTCGCGCGCGCCTGGGAGCGGAGCCGCGCGCCCCGCCCGGGGTTTAGTGCGCGCGCTGCCGCACAGAGGGCCAACGCTGTGTCGCGGCTACCATCTACCGGACCCCACTGCTACCGCGTTTGGTCCTTTGGGCTCTCTGCGCGCTAGCCCGCGGGGCAGCGATGGCTGGGCCTCATGCTCGGTCGTTCCACTACTCAACTTGCTCGTCGTCGGGCTGCGGCGCGGTCTACACACGGGTTCCGCGACCAGCGCCGACGCCAGCACCTACGCCAGCTCGGACGCCGGGGCCAACCTCGGCAAGGACGTTGGCAGCTGAGATCGCCAGAGGCCGCCAGGCCACGACATCAACCATCGGCAGTCTCTCCCAGGGCGGCGCGACAAGCTCCGCCTGGACCGACACGTCACCGCACGCCCGATCTCCGTCGCGCCTGCTCGCGAGCATGCCCGGCGCGCAGGGCCTGGCCGGCTGCGGGAACCTTGCCGGGTGCACAGCTGACGGCGACAGAGGGTCTCGCCAGGAGGCGCCAGACTGAGTTGATACATGGCCACGCTCCCACGGTGGCCACTGTGGGCTACATCGCCCAGGAGATCGCCTCCAAGCGGCCCGGGGACCTGCCGCCGCCCGCAGGCCAGAGTTCGCCGACATTCCGAACAGCGCCGGCGCCGCCCCCCAAGGGCTGGCGGCAAGCTTGGAGCAATACGGCGCGTTCTGCGAGCCGCGCTGGGACTGGTGCGTTGGCACTGAGGCCGCGGCGGGCGACGTTTGCTGGGTGGCGCCAACGACCAGCGACACGGGGGCGAAGCGGCGGAAAATGGCGGCGGAGATCGGGAACGGCCGGTCGGCCCCGATGGCAAGCGGCACTGCGGGGATGCGGCAATTGGAACAGGACGGCACGCACCGTCTCTAAGTTGGCCGCCATGGGCTACGCCACCCCCGCGCTGATCGGGCCTCTCCTAGGCTACCTGCCCCTGTAGGCCTGCCTCAAGTTCGCGGATGTTGCGAACGGCTCCGAGGCGCTGCCCACGGCGACGCTCGGGGGTCGGGGCCAGATCTTCTCGCGCTGCGCGCATGCGGAGATCTCCCGGGGCCACGCGACCCCGACCCGGCAGAAAGGCAGGAGAAGCTGGCAGCGAAAATCGCGAACGACCACTCGACGATGATGGCGATCAGTGGCACTTTCTCCCAGGGCGGTCTCACCAGCGTCGCGCGGGGCGAATGGGCGCACAGCTCGGGGCCCCCGCTGGGCGCGCTCGCACACGGGCCCGGCGTGCAGCCCGCAAGTTTTACGAGGGATGGTGATGGGGATGCATGCAGACGCCGCAGTCGGGTCGAGATCAGGAATGGCCGCACTGCCACGCCGGCGACGATGGGCTTCACCGCCCCAGAGACCGCCGGGAACTCCCCGGGGACCACAAGAACGCAAAGGTCTTCGGCGTCCTCGACGGCCGGGTTCGGAGCGCGACGCAGGGCACGGAGGGCAGGAGGACGAAGCCGAGCGCCGAGAGTGAGGCACGGCGGGGCTACGGCATTGGTAGCAGGCACGGACACATGCGTCTGTGGGAAGCGCGGCTTGTTCGGAGTTTGCGCGTGTGTGTGTGTGCGCGCGGGCATGCATGCGCATCAGGCTTTGGGCTATCGCTTGTGAGCTTGAACTGAATATGGCGGATTGAGTTCTGCTCGAGCGTTTCGGAAACTCCGGAGCATGCATCGCAGCGTCGTGGAGTGGTCCGGCGTTTCGATGTCGCTGGTGTCAGGGGTACGCTCGCAGTCCTCACCGGCCCACGCCCTGCCCCTGGGGCCGGGGCGCCGCGCGTAGTCTACCCAATCTAACCAACTCTTACGGCGCGTCCACAGACCGCCGAGTCGGACAGGAGCAATACGGCGTTTGGGCTAGCGCCTTGGATCACGCCCGCGAGTGCACGAGCCTTCTGGCCGAGCCGCGGGCCACGTCTACGGGCATCTGGGGCGCGTCGGTTGGCATCTCGTTCGGTTTTCGAAGTTTTTACCCCGCCCGAGACGTCTAACCCAGGACGAAGGTTGTCCAGGTAAGCCCCGGCCCAGTCACCCCCCGCGTCGCCCCGGTGGCAACGCGCTCTTGCTTCGATGCGGCATGGGCGCGTGGGTCATTGCGCGTTGGTCTTCGGGCTCGTCGGCGCCACGTCGCTCCACCTGCGTCGTTTGTCTCGCTCGGGGTGGGTGGGCGCGACTCGCTGTCTCACAGTCGTGCATGGGCGGCTGGGGTCTTAGGACTATTCCCCACATGACTAGACAGCGCAAGCCCGGCCCACGCTGATCAACGGGAGCTGGGGGCGCGTTCGTCGGCGCGCGTTCGGCGCGCGTGGCTCAAGATCCTCAAGGTGGCCCCCCACAAAGAAGGCGTCTTTGGAGCTTCTTGCCCCTGACACAGCAATTGAAAGATAACTATGGGGCGCCGGGAGCGGGGGGGGGCAGGCTGGGAGGCACGCCACATCTGCGCTTCGCGTCTGCGCCGGGCGAGGGCCGTCGTCTCCATTTGGACGACCTTGCGCGTTGGAACGGTCTTGGGCCGTGCCTATCAGGGCGGGGGTCTTGAACCCTGACGATGGGGACCGGTCTTGAGCCCTCCGCCTCAACCCGCGGTGCCATCGCTC